AGACTGACCTTCTATCTCAACTGAGACGACCGAGAAGCTGGTCCAGCCCGTCCTCAACTTACACGAGCTCTCGAACCTTGTCGGCTCCACTTTTTTTGAACTTCTGCTGTCTCGGAATCCTCATCACTGTGTGATATCAACTTCATATAACTCTTACTGCGTGATGAGAGTACCCCTCTCCGTCTCGACCCTGGAATATATAAATGCCCGCACCACTGAGGAAATCATCATCACTACGCCGTCGACTCTCCTTCTCGTTCTTCGTGACTTTAAAGTAGCCACCATAACCCCACGCTGGAAACACTCTGATTATCGCGACAGGCGGCACTTCTCCCAAATTTTGCGCATCCCCTCGGCGTCCATCTCCATGTCGACCTCCTCTCTCCTCTTGCGTTCACTCAAAGACACAGTCTCTTCCCTCAGCACAGAAGCCTTGCCACGACCAACTACCCAGCTGATATGCTTCATTGAGTCCGCAAACCTGACGAAGCCATCCCTAACATGGTGTACGGCAGTCCGATCGTCGAACCTTGTGAGCTCGTCAGAGCCGACCTCCTCAACGCTCGGTCGGATAATCCTCATGTCGACACTGACGAACACCCGCGGGAGTTTCTCCTTGCCGAGGCCCTCAAGGATAAGAGGTCGGCCATCACCCACTGTGGGGTTCGGCGGCCTCAAAACCATCGACTGAAATGACCCCTCGGGGTGATCCTCCTGAGCATACTTACCAAAGCCACAGTAGGAACCTCTTCTCTCTTCAATCGCTCCAATAGATCCTCCAGCCCCAGACCACACTCAGCTCTCATGGCCGTTGACTCCTGGTCTTCCCCTACCCCTACCGCAATTCGCAGCCGTGGGTCGACATCAACGACGTGGGGCGGCTTTGAACGCACTATAGTCCTGTGGACAGCAGCTCTCTTGACCCCGTATGTGTATGGACTACATAACAAGACCTTCCTCCATCTTGAAATCATTCCATTCCTCGCAATCTCCGTATATCGATTGCCTCCATTCGCCCAACGCGGTCTTCGCCTCAACGACCGAGAGCCAGACCAAAGCCTCTCCTGTGTGACACATTCGTTCGAGCCAATCGGCGGCATTTCTAATTCCGTGCACTCAGAACCGCAGCAAAATCACGACCTGATAAG